ATGAACCTTGCTATTAAAAAAAACTTGGGATGATTATCGAATCATGGATGTTAGAAATAAAATACAAATGTTTCAACAACAACGATGAAATGTGTAAAACATTATAACGTAATTGCTACGAATATGTAATTGGAAGTCTCATCATCAATGTCATTAGTCATCAAAATCATTAGATGTTTGTTGTTTGGTAAGACGTAATGGTATGTAATCATGATAACTAATAACATAATTATAACTAATTTATAAGCTATACTGTACAATTTATCAAAGTTGCTTTTTTATGTTAATTAGTGTGTACTTGCTAAAACTTTTTATTACGTTAATATTATCAAATGACATGAAATTAAATGAAATGTTTGTTTGGAAGTCCCATCATCAATGTCATTAGTCATTAAAATCATTAGATGTTTGTTGTTTGGTAAGACGTAATGGCATGTAATCGTGGTAACTAATAACATAATCTTTATATATAAAAATTACGTGTCACGTTGTTTGTCCGCGATGGACTCCTAAACTACTGAACTGATTTCAATGAAATTTTGCACACTGTGTGCATTTTGGTCCAACTTGAGAGATAGGATAGTTTTTATCCCGATAAATCACCCTCAAAAGTTTTTATTGCGAATTTAAGGATTTTTATAGGAAGGGTTGGAAAGGGCAGAACAACGTCTGCCTGGCGAGCTAGTTGTAACTAATTTATAAGCTATAATACTGTACAATTTATCAAAGTTGCTTTTTATGTGTTTAATTAGTGTGTACTTGCTAATAATTTTTATTACATTAATATTATCAAATGACATGAAATGAAATGAAAGAAATTTGTTTCTCCAACGTAAGAACTTAGGTAATATTTCTGTATATATAGAGATTAAATGTAAGTCAAGACATTTCATGATACGCCGCCGTTTCATGATTTAGCCGACGGTTTACTCGCCATAGCACTTTGTGCCCAATTTATATAATACACAGTATATATAACAAACCACCATGTAGTGCTTTTAGGGACATATAGATGGATAGACATATATATGGGCATGGCATTTATGACAGTGAAATTTTGTTTTGGTCGTTATAAAAGGGAAATCAATGTTCACAATAAGTAACTTACTAATTCAATCTATTGCAAAAATGTTTTGAACCGACACGCGAATCAGTAAAGAGTCTAGGACAATACTCTCATTCCCCCGACAATGCAGAGGCAATAAACCCACATACAATTTGCAAATAAAAATATATTTATATTTACATAATTTTTATATGGTCGGGTTTTCCGAAATAAAGTAATTCCTATATGTGACTAATTCTGATAACACACTGAACGGGAACCACAGGGGGTTTTTACATGTTTATAAATGTATGCGGCTTAACCTTAACCTACTGTCGCTGATATTATTGGATATGGGCTTTCGCATTCTTAATAATTAACAGAAGTTAAAGTCGTAAATTATCGCCCAAATCATACAATGGCGGCGTATAATGAGGTGTAAGAATTGACGAAATCATTAAGGGATCGTCGCTTCTGCATTGCAGTTCATTTTTACAATATTATTGGATTTTATAACGTAAAACTGGTGCGATTTTCACACGAGACAGAGCAGAGTTGCAACTATATTATGGTTGAAGCACGAATGGGTCGGCTCGAACGGGGTATGACCAGGCATCACAGTCCTCAGGGGTGACAACGTACCTGCATTTTGATTCTTTATCGGATAATTACACGTAGGTATAAATGTGCCTGTGAAAGGTGTCTTTCGGCTACAGCAACCACTAACCATCGGGTGGCATATAGAAAAAAAAAACTTTAGATACTATTGGCATCGTCTGTCTGATAAGTAGGTAGGTTGTTGTCAAAATCATTGTTCTGCATTAAGAAACATCAAGTTGACGATTTATTTAGAATTTTGGATAATGTATTGTAGCATCTGTATTGGATATTGGATTATTTGTTGCTAAACGCCTTGTAGCCATAATAATGAAAGATCGGCTAGGGTTTCCTTGTGGCAATGAAACACAAAACTTAAACATATTACGATAATTGCCTCCTTTCTCTTTCTTTCTCCATCTAATTCTTTTATTTATAGTTTCCACAGGTGCCTCCATAGAGTAAGATCGATTATTCATTGAATTCACTATCAGAATAACATTTATTCCAAATAACGCAATATAATGAGTACAGTAAATGTATGTAATAATAAGTTATTATTGTAATGAAATGTACAAAACATTGTAATTATATAAGTGCTGTGTCGATATAAACAGTGAATACACATGCCAAGGAGATCACGTGGCTTCCGACATAATGCCAGAATAAATATTTTATACTAGCGACCCGCCCCGGCTTCAGCTGGATAACATATATTATTATATTATTTCGATTAAAAAAATCAAAGAGCATTTATTTTATAAATTTAAAAAAAAAACTTCATGCTTTTCGGATAAAATATAGCCTAGAACCTAGATAATTTCTGGCATCGTTCTTTATCTGTTCGTAAAGTTCCATCACAATCGGTTCAATCAATCCGAAGTTTAGCCCGGACAGACAGGCAGACAAGTTTTAAAAATGGTTATTACGTGTTAATAGCACACCAAAACCCTTCGGAGCTTAATAAAAGCGAGTTGTTTCAATATTACACATGATAAACTTATCGTAGTATGGCATGTATTACACACCGGCATAACGTTCGCACCGGCGTCACTTGCCCTTACGCACACAGCATGCATTCCCCACCGGCATTAAGGACGCACCGGCAATCGGACTGCACTATCTACCTCCGGTCTGAGCAAGGGGATGATGTGGTGCCGCTGTCGTCGCGCCACAGGCGAAACACATCGAAGCCTAAATCGCGCTATCAAAGTTCCTAAATTAAAGCAATGTATATAGAATAGCTCCGTTGACCGCTCCCTGGGCAGAACACCTTGCCCGGCGGGCACCGGCTAAAAGCTAATGAACTTGATTATCGTAGAATGGAAACGTATTTCGCAAGAAACCATAAGATATATACTCTACTCACTAGCATGTCCAGATGAATGCAAGCTGTGATTCCATCAAGAATAGGTCACACTCTATACTTAACTTATCTACTTTTACATCAATAATTTCTTATATTTACACGAACACTACACTTAGGCAGGTGCAGGCCATGAATATCGTCATAAGTTTACACTACGTTTTTCAGATAATTAATTACAACAATAATATAGAAGAAATAAATTATGTTTCTATATTTACAGAATAAGTGCCGGTGTAAGAATATCCACTACCCCATATCATTCTGTGGGTGTTATAAGCGGCGACAGAGGGAAACTGTGACAGGTGATAGACATCAGCATCTTCCTGACTACAACTCTAATTAAAAAAAAACTGTGATTGCCAGCCCACCTGTGAAGCATGGATACGGCATAAAACTATGGCAAAATTCCCTCTATGAGGCAATCTACAGAAGAGGCCTATGAACAGAAGGATGGATAGATGAATTTATAAGAATAAAAGTAACTTTATTTATATTAAAGTGATTGTAGTACATGGGTTTGACATTACATTGTTTGTACTATCTATAAAATATGTCTAGTATGTGCTCTGCACTTGATGAATTTACGGCGAAAACATAAAAATTATCATCACTATCATTTAGTAGGTGTTGTGACCCCTTTTCTGCCTAGGAGTACGTCTGGGTAGGCATCACAGTCTTACTTATTTCTACCGTCAAATAGTAGTTCTTGCACTAATGTATTCCCATCTGAAGGGTATAAGAAGCCAGTACAATTATAGGCTGTGAGGCATTCCGTCTTAGTCTTCAGAGGTGACAATGCATCAGTAACGTTCTTGTTTGAATTCGGTTGCCATGGGCTGCAGTGGCCACGATCAACTGTGAGTATGTACGTCACTAAACAAGCATTAAAGTTTATTTTGAGTATAGTTAACAGGAGCATCAATAATGTTAAAAACATTAATATTATTCTTTTTTTTATATTGTAAGTAAATATATAAATACAGTACAACCTAAGTATAACGAACCTCAATATAATGATTTCCTCGAATTGACAAAAATTCTTACAAATCCCCTAGAACTGGCCGTAAGAGTTAATGCAAAATATACATTATGAAAAACTTATGTAAAAAATCTTATCATAACAATTTTTCAATCATTGCAAAACTTGATAAAGTACTCACTGCATAAAGTATTCTAGCATTCTATTACTGAATTATTTTTCAGAAAAGGAACAGTTCCTACAGAGATAGAAGATATTACTTATTCTTCATTGAAGATATTAACTTATTCTTCATTGATGGTCTGCAAATGTTTACCTGTTCAGATAGATCATGTCAACTAATCCTTGGAGTGTAGCATTCAAAATATGACTAAGGGCAGTGTAAGTGTTAAATAACATTCACAGTCTGCTTGACTACAATAACCCTCTATTTATAATGTTATAACAACCTTTAAGTTAAAATTGTATTTTATATTTATATAAATATATTTTCATTATGATATTCATCAATAGAGTCATAACATTATAATATTATAATTAAAAGTTTATAAAATGTTTCTCTTTAAAAGGCCCATTTAATTATTTTTATTACGAGGTACTTTGTTATAATACTTTATATTCATTTTTAGCTACTAGGTGTTGTAACAAGTACCAATGGCAATTACATATTTTTTTAATATGTAAGAGGGGGTGATGATAAGTAACTACCGCCGCCCATGAACAACTGCAACACTAGGGAAATTGCAGATACATTACCAGCCTTAGAGTAGGCTCTTTTCTTGAAGGTGCCTTAGTTGTATCACTCTCGAAAAATCATTGGTTGTAGTTAATTCCACAAGGAAGTTGTGCAAAGAAAGAAAAGTTCTAAATTGTGTTAAGGTTCTTCTTTAATTTTGGTTTTTGAGAACTAATACTTAGAGATTATATTAAGATATCAAAAGCATAAACAGATCGGAAGAAACGAGGAGCATGCATACACTTCTCACGTTCATTATGAAAATAGGACTCACCCACATACATAGAGGCTCCTGCATCATGAAGGTCATTACTTCAACAACCTGCTCAGTCAAATTCCTGGTGTCGTTGGCGGCATACACCGGCGCTAACACTGTAGGCGGCGAAATGACTGACTCAACATCAGAACCGACTACAGCAGCTTCTTGCCGCTGAAGAGTAGTATTCGTTCTCCAGTTCGGGTCATTCGTTACACTTATAGCATAATACACAGCAACAGAAAGTAGCAACACACTTCCCGCCGTATAAACCTTGAGGTTCGGCAAGGGTAACCTGTCTACTAAAGTCACAGGCATCTTGAAAGTTATAAACACTCACAAACAAACTAACAGGCTTCAACTGCAAACATAAAATTCAGACATTTAATTTTAATATTCAAATAGTCTTGGATAAAACTTAGGTGTTTAATAAGGACCTAGTTAGTGAAAGCAAAAAAAAACATCGTCAGACTAGCGAATATCGTAACAGACAACAGTCACGCGTAGGAAAAAATATAAAATCAAGTAAAAACATCGGCAGGTCACCACAGCTGAGACCAGCACCACCACAGACTAACTGGTAGATTCTTGTACATACAACTTTATAATTTGTGGTAGATTCTAACAGCACTTACAGATCAGATTAGACCAATTGTATATTATCTATGGATTAGACTACCACAGAGTACATACTTTTTTATATAGCAGACTATTTTTTTTAATAACTGGCTTTACGGTGGGTTCTAGCTCTTCTGGCCCTGAAGTTACAATGTATAATTATCCTTCATAGTACAGTGCTTCACAATATGTTGATGCGTCTTATTGTGCAGCCCTTGCGAGATTTTGACGGCAACTTGAGCCAGCAGATAGCTGAAAGTTGGCGATGGTATCTCAAGGCGCCTAAGCAGACAGACACCTAATCTTGAGAATCACATCACCATCAGAGAACTTGTTTCACCGTTTCCACTAATAGTTCAAATGCGCAGACATTTAAAACACAAAATCGTACCACTTTTACATATTAAAATCCACTTCAAACTAGCGATGGGCGATTGTTACAAAAAAAACAATCGACTGAATCGAATATCGTGCTATTGCGCATTCGATTGTCGATTTAGTAGTTCCTCACCATGATTATTCGAATAACAATCGACAAACTACTAATTGTACGCACGACGCACACTGCAATCCGCCGCTATGTAATGCATGCGAGTGTACGTGCTTCGATGCAACGACGTGTGCTTGTGCCTGCGGTGAACTGTGGAACGCCGCACGGGGCAGTGCGTGCGGAACATTACATAATACATATTTTAATTTGTTAACTTTAGTTGATTATTGACTTTTTTAAAGAATAGATCACACGCGGGTTATGAATGACCGGCTTGACGCGATTCCTAAAAATCATAATCATTACATATAAAAATTACGTGTCACGTTGTTTGTCCGCGATGAACTCCTAAACTACAGAACTGATTTCAATGAAATTTTGGACACTCTGTACAGTTCGGTCCAACTTAAGAGACAGGATAGTTTTTATCCTGATAAGTGACACTCAATATTTTTTATTACGAATTTAAGGATTTTTAATATGAAGGGTTGTCGAAAAGGGCAGAACAACGTCTGCCTGGCCAGCTAGTAGAATGTAAATATTAAATTAATAAAGTTTTAAATACACTTTTAAGGATTTTTAATATGAAGGGTCGCGAAAAGGGCAGAACAACGTCTGCCTGGCCAGCTAGTAGAATGTAAATATTAAATTAATAAACTTTTAAATACACTTAGCTTAATAAGACTTTTTAATACTAGAGAGTCCTGTACCTATTAAAGTATGAAGAAATGTTTATTGAATTAAATTTCATGCGTAAAATATAAGCAATAAAATTAACGTCAAGAATTTAAAAATAAAAATTAATACAAAAGTAAGTAAGCTTTTAACAAATAAATAAATTTTACCATTAACGCCATGTCAAGAATAGATGTTCCCTCAATCGATGGTTTGATTACAATACAAAACAGATAATTGAATAATCTATTGGCGCCAATCGTATACCTAATAACTGCAGTCGTAACGTAAGTAGTGGCGCACAGACTTAGCGCAAGCGCACCACACGCCGCACCATCTTTTGTAACTACTTATTTAGTAGTACGCATAATGGGTGCGCTGCGATACAAATTAGTAGTTAAAGTTGACACGGTAGCCGTGTCAGTCATTGTCGCCCGCCGCACGCCGTCGATAATAATCGACTAACATGGATTGTTATCAAATTTTATAGACTAAACTGAACAATCGACTAATTCGATTAGTTTTAGTAATAATCGCCCATCGTTACTTCAAACCATTATTTAAACACTAATACAGAAGCAGCATTCCGTCACCGGTCAAGTTCCCGCTAAAACTCTATAGCAGACTACTATCTAATAACAACATAGATTAATTAATAGAATGAAAGCATTTTTTTAATAACTGGCTTTACGGCTTTGGGTGTAGGGATTTTGACGGCAACTTGAGCCAGCAGACAACTGAAAGTTGGCGATGGTATCTCAAGGCGCCTAAGCAGACAGTCACCTTATCTTGAGAATCACATCACCACCAGAGGACTTGTTTCACCGTTTCCACTAATTGTTCACATGCGCAGACATTTAATACACAAAATCGCACCACTTTTACATATCAAAATCCACTTCAAACTATTATTTAAACAATAATACAAGAGCAACACTACGTCGCCGGTCAATTACCATAGACGTAGTATCTTATAGACTAAACATTCAATGACGTCATCAGCGTGTGAAAGGAATGCACGTATATAGTTAGACATAAGAGTAAAGGAGAAGCAAATCTATATTTCTTGTCTTTTTCTTGGTATGCATTTTTGATTGTTTTCCCTCCTTTATTTGACATTAACGATGTCAAGCTCTTTTGAATAATATTGATATTATAAGCAAACAGGTAATTGAATTTAGTGTTTTTTGTGGATCTTAGTTATTAGGTAAGGTGAAAAAGATGGTAAGTTGTAGCATTTTAGGATGCAACAGCATCAGTCAACGAAAAATTGATAATATTACCTTTCATTGGTAAGTTTGTTTTGTGCTTACATTTGCTACTTGTACTGATTAATATCTATTGTTTTGAATATAAAGTGTAACATTTCATGTTTTTAATGAACTTTGTGATGTATTTTGTCAAATATTTGGACTCCCAGATTGTAAATTCTTCATGATAATGCTCCTTAATTTGAACGGTCATTCGAAAGCTTAAAGTCATAACAAACGTGTACTTTTTGATTTGGTAGGATTATAGAAACTTTAGGGATATCAGCGAGTACAATGATGTTTTCGCATTGTTCAATAATAATTGTTATTGTGATTAGTAGTTATGTCCATAAATATGAATCACATAATGTTATACATATACATACACTTTTATGTTCAGCTTTAAAGGAAACTCCTTATTGCCCTACAACTCTTCAATCATTTTCCATATTACATAGACGTCACAAATAATATGTAAGTATCAACCTGAAAACATGTTTGGATTCAAGTACATAAATATTGGGCAAAGTATATTTAATTTCACAAAATATGTATTGCCTGAAATCAGATGCACAAAACTTTATTGCATTCCATTAATTCTATTATACATTAGCAACAATTACATCACAATATTTATTAAAAAAATATGTCATGCTAATATAAAAATAAATATAAATATAGATAAAATAATAAATAAGTCTTAATATTAAGGTACACAATAACACAACGACATAAGATAATATTCTCAATTAATGATGTAGAAAAAATTTGATGATAATATACTTACCGTTACCATTAGTCAGTATCAAAAGTTATAGGTTTTGTGATAGTTGCCTAGCTTGGCAGGACAATTGGCAACTGCAGTTATTTGGAAACAAACTGTGTGGGAGGTCTATGTTCAGCGGCGGAGGACATTTGTTAGGCTGTAAATGTATTAATTAACAATATCTAAAGCTTATTATGTACATATTTTTTTAAAATGTTTGGTATTATTATCATTACATTTACATATACTTGCTATTTAATTAAATCAATTGATATTGTTTTAATTGTTATAGGTATTGTATTTATGCACAGATACACATACTTGATTTTTTTTTGTTAAATATCTTGATATAAAAGTGTACTATATATTTAATATATTAATTTCTTTCAAATATATTATTTCACAGCTTTCCTAAGGAATCAGCTATCCGTAACAGTTGGATAATCGCTACTGGTAGTGCTTATAGGTAACCAACAAAACTTAGCAGTGTATGCTCAAAACATTTTAAGCCTCATTGTTTTAGGTGGACTAAATATGCTTAACTTATGTAATTTATAATATAATTAAGATAATTTTTTTAAATGTTATAATTTCTTGTTGTATCTTGTTGTTTCTCCATAAGTGATATAAGTTTGATCTTGTTGGTAGTTAGGATTTTTGACATTGTTCTGTACCTATGTATTAAAAATTGACTAGCATTGCTTATTTTATTTTCAAATGCTGACATTCTGTATTATTATGACTTGTAATAATTGGGTGGCATGACAATGACAAAATATTTACTTATAGATGTATTAATTAAACATGAATCCTCATTTACAAATGTTGGAACTTTATCTGTACTACCATGTTTTATGCAAATAAAGATTTAAATAAAATAAATAAATAAGTAATTTAAAGTCCTGACCTAAATATACAAATGAATAATTTATTATGCAATAATAATTGTAAAACTGACTGGGAATGCCTACCAATGGGACATTTAGTCCACCCTTAATCCCTTTTATAAAGGTGTTATAAGCATTGATGTGTAAATAAATTAAGAATTAAATATAATAATTATGATAATTTCTATTTAATTGTCATAAAAATAATGTAATAAAGATGTTTTTGACAAGAGATAAGTATTACCTACCTAAGTATAGTTTAGGAGTTGTACCTTATTATTTATACCATTAAAATATATTATATACAAGGCAAATAATATTAATATATATACACTTCCTTCTAATCTGATTCTAACGACCAGCACCCAAGAATATCTGCCATGCAAAAGTATAAATCAAGTTTACAAATGCATATTTTTGAGAAATTCTAAGGCTACTCAAACCAAAAATTACAACGAATGCTCTAGAAAGAAGACAAAAATTTTGTTAAATTTGTTGTTTATTAATGTGATGAAAAATTAATAAATAATCGTTTGTTTATTTTAATTTTATTGAATTATATTTAATATATAATTGTGTTTTCATTTGTTTTACTTAATGTAACATTGTTAATATTTCTAAATGTTGTGTAAGTACACAAAATGTAGTTCTTTTTCCTTTTTAAATTTCAATATATTTTCATTTAAATAGAATATATATCTTTACAGTCTGTCAAAAGTCCACTGTTGAACATAAACATTATTATAGTTATTTGGCATAGTTTCAACGCTTGGAAAGCGGGTTGTCAACCATTATTTAGCTGTTATCAGGACAATGCTGCTGTTTATCTTCTTTGATGTTTCCCTATGTCGCCTCATACACCACCCATGGAATGATATGAGGTAGCAGATAATCTTACACTGCATGGTAAATTAAAATAGAATATTATAAAACATTCGTTTTTATTTTATATACCAACATATTACAAAAAAAAATCCTTTGTTGATGCTGTACAACGTATATTAACTAAAACATTTTACCACCTTAACCATTAGGTAACATGATTAAGCCACCTAACCATAAGTAAGTCACCTAAAAAAGGCCTTCCATAGATATCCTCATAGGATGACTTGCCATAGTTGCCACGCCTGCGTAAAAATATGCGTTATGCTGGTTGGCCACCGCAGTTTTTTATTATTTTAAGTTTTCATCGGAAAGTGCTGCTGCCCCATCCCCATCTCGTATTATTGCTTACGACGCGGGGTAATATCATCCCGTGTACAGACAAATTCTCTTGTACGCCACAACTTGTCGCACACAAGACACTAACTTAGCAAAACATGCAGGAAATCGCGGGAGTAGGCTCATAACCGTGTTTTGTATTACAAAACCTAAGTGGAAACCCTTTCCTTTCGAAGGTCTGCGTTCAGTACTGAACTTATGATGGAATGGTATGTTAAAACATTATTGATTTTTTTTTGTAAATACAACAAAACTCGACACAAGGAAATTTTTTTATTATTTAATATTTTTATTCTCAATTAATATTTAAGTACATACATAACATATTGTTATTTATTAGCGATATCACACTTTGTGCTATTAGCACCTTCAGTTAGTGCCGTCGAAATCCAAAGAGTTTATTGAATGTCCAATAAAATCGTCGATGCGCCGTTGAATACAGAATGATGATTCTGTTTTTACGCCGTTTCCGCCCGTAGTTTTTGTCACAGAATGTATTTCAAGAGAAATTAATTAATTATCTGAATTATAAAATAATATTTTTTTATGGTAACAATTAAGTTTTTTGTATGAATGTAAGTGCTGTGAATATAAATAAACCCATAACGGGGGAAATGGAACAATATCTGGTAACCCAGTGAAAGTACCTCCCGCCTATTTCTATCTCAAAAGCATACGCGAATGCTTTATCTAGTCAATCCTCTATCTACGTCAATTATCCGCCAAAACTCCAATGACAGCATTGCATTCTTTTGTTCACGGACTAATGAGTCTGTCGCCGACTAACGTAGTGACTTGGATACAACCACAGACCTGTTACACATAGACTAGCAACGGTATTGTTAGACGAAGATATACGGTACGACTATGAAGAAGTCACCGATATTTTTTTCTGTTGATATTGCCCTGTCGACTTTTATGCAGGCTTACTGTGAATATATGAAGTTACAGGCCAAGCCAAAGGTCGTAACATATAATTCGTATAAAATAATAATTATAACCCGTTTATTTGTTGATCAAAATAATACATTAAAAGATGTTAACAATTGCTTATTGTGTCTTTTAAGATACAAATATATAAATGGAAATATATTGTCCGTATATGCAATGTATTCGTTAGGTATTTTATGTATTACTGTGTGTATTGCTGTGTAAGAATTGTCGTTACAAAATGTAACCAGTTATTGAAAACATATATTTATACAATAGCGGCAAGCGCGTTATTGCAGTTCGGCGAAACTATCTATTAGGGTAACACAATTCACGAACAAGCGATCAGAACGAAATGTAATAAATCGTTTATCCGACTATTTTCGCGACACATCTGCAACGGCTTCGACTGTTGAAGTACAACCGGCCTCGAATGTCGAGCGGCCGCGGGTGACACGTTTTGTCTCTTTCGCACCCACTGACACTTACTTGTTGTTGTGTTGCTTTTGCTTATAACCTATGTGCCTATGATTCTATTACCTTCATATGGGTGTGTGTGCATGTTTTTAAATTAAAAAATATATATTTTCGAATGAGACGTGGTCCTTAACTGCTGGCCGGATGAGGAAGCTCAAGGTCGCTCAGCGAGCTGTGGAGAGGGCTATGCTCGGAGTTTCTCTGCGTGATAAACTTAGAAATGAGGATATCCGAAGAAGAACCAGTGACAGACATAGCCCAAAGGATTAGTAAGCTGAAGTAGCAATGGGCTTGCGATATAGTTCGAAGAACCGACAGCCGATGGGAAAAAAAGGTTCTCGAGTGGTGGCCTCGTACCGGTGGATGAAGTGTAGGGCATCCCCCCACTAGATGGAGTGACGACTTGGTAAGATATGCAGGAAGTCGATGGATGCATGTGGCTCAGGACCGTGCTTTGTGGCATTCCTTGGGGGAAGTCTATGTTCAGCAGTGGACTCTTGAAGGGCTGTAATGATGATGATGAATGATGATTTTCGAATTGCTTGAATTTGCATGGCCTTGACCCAGTTTAAATTCATCTCGTGTTTAAAGACAAGGTTTGTTTTTAGGCGCGATTGCAAATAAACTAAATTTTGTTTTGTGCATTAATAATAATATTTGTACTAAGATAAGAAGAGAATGCAATTGTATATATTATGTAATATAATTTAATTAACTTGTTACCAGCCAGTCCTAAGCCTGCATAAATCGTGAAGAAAATTTCATTGCAATATAAATGTTTTTAACACTAAAATCTCGAAAACAGTTATCTCAACGAAACGGGAACACCAAACAAGCTAATCAAGCTTTCGTTTCATTCGCCACGTTTTGCAAATAATCACGTCGTGAAACACACTACTGAAGCCGCTATTCCCGGCTACGGTGGTAACCATGGTAACAGCGGGGGTGCCAAGAATCTCCGGTGGAGGATCGTTTGCCACCTACGACGACAACGCATGCACCCTGAGGAATGACGAGAAGATCTTCAGCTGGAAGAAAAGATAAACAAGTTGCGCTGGAGCATTATAGGATTATCCGAGATCAGAAGAGAGGGGGAGGATACGGTAAACCTCAAATCTGGCAACTTGTTCTATCACCGGGAGGACGACCATCTGTACCAAGGAGGTGTCGGATTTATCATTCACGAGTCTCTCGTTAACAACGTTGTAAAGATTGGGATTGAGCTGACGAGGCTCGCGTACCTTATACTCAGAATCACCAAACAGTATTCACTGAAGGTCATACAGCTTTACGTACCAATCTCAGCACATCCTGATGAGGAGGTGGAGGAAATGTATGAGGATATCTTTAGAACCATGCATTCCTCCAAAATCCACTACACGGTGTTAATGGGAGACTTCAACGCAAAACTAGGCACAAGAGAGATCGGTGAGCTGAAAGTAGGGAAATTCGGAATAGGGAAACGGAACTCAAGGGGCCAGCAGCTGGCCGACTTTATGGAGAGACTCTTTATGATGAACTATTTCTTCCAAAGGCGGCCCCATAGGCCCCATAGGTTGAGCCCCGACGGTTCGACAAAGTAACTTCGACCGAGAGACGATAGACTTAGAATATACTTACGCCAGTATATTCTAAGTCTACGATTCTTACTATATTTTTTCTTAATTATTTTAGCCATAGATTTAGTATCACCTTCATCTACCAAATGGTCTGGAATCATTTCGTTTTACCATCTACGAGACATTACGACGCTGATTGTTTTGCCCACAAGGAAAAATTAATTCCTGGAAAGTCAATAATTAACTTTGGAGTTATAATTCATCATGCAATGAAAAAGTTTTGAAAAAGTGATTTGAATCAGGAAACAATATATTTAACTCATAATAATAAAATGTCATCAATTTCAAAAAATAATAAAGTTGTAAAATTTTATTATGTGATTATATAATACAAAAATAAAGAATATTATAATTATATTTGTGATTGTTAATTGTGGTACGTTTATTACATTGTTGTTAATAATAGTATTTGTTAAAATTATACGCAATTTAAAATCTAACATATACAATTATTGGAATTTTAGTGGATAGAGATATATTTCCACTCATAAATTTTAAAAGGAGACTAATCCTCATGAGATTGTAAGTGTAATTTCATAAGATAAATAGTTGAAATGATTACAATTAAGCTGGTATGTATATAAACTGATTATAATAAATTAGGCGACAATCTTAACAGAATTTTAACATGTTATTGGTACTTTCGTTATAAAGTGTGTCTTAAAATGGAATCTTTTTTAACTTCTGTCTAAACTTCTGTCTAATTAATAAATAATAGGGTATATTATTTAGAATCCGCACCTGGTCGACGTACTAGCCATAGATAAATATATATGTAGCAAGCTAGTACTAGCAAGAAAATACCTGGTCGCGTAAATCGTAAATACGCAGCTTCCCTAAATTTGACTTTGACATTGACATTTGACACTTTCTGTAATTCTGTTGATAAAAGTTGTGTGAGGTTTTAGTGTATGGAGTCGTAAAAAATAATTTTTTAACTATAAATTTGGTATTAAAGAAATAATTACTATGTCTGAAAAAGATTACGCACCTTTAAGCACAGCTTGCGTTCGCGGGCTGTGTGACAAACTTTATGAAAAGAGGAAGTTTGCTGGCGTTGAAATAGAAAAGTATGAAAATCACTTTATTACTGTTTTTACTGTGTACTGAAGAAAAAAAAATATTTTGGTTAGTTCGAAGTTCATATTTAGTGATACAAAGTTTAAATTTAACATTCCAGAATGGTAAAAGACTTCAATGATGCGAACAATACTAATCAGATAAAGAAGCTGATCCGGGTTTTAGGCCAAGATTTGATGTCATCCACTAATCCTAATGTGAAAAATGGGGCCTTGATGGGCCTGTCCTCTGTTGCTGTTGGCTTAGGAAAGGTTTGTATGCTTAAAATGCTAATAATTGCTTCAAATATAACATGTTAAAAATAATAATGTGATATAATAAATATAAATTTCTATTAACCTATATTATTTCTACTTTATTAACATGTTGTAGTATATCAACCACTAAGGCAATATCTACCATTTTAAATTACTATTGTTATTTAGTCATGCAATTGTTTTATATACGTCATTGTGCCTTTTAGGGCTGCACAGTGTACCTCAGTGAGTTACTGCACCCAATAGTGGCATGCGTCAGCGAGGGCGAGTCTCGCGTGCGTTACCTGGCGGCCGAAGCGCTGTTTAACGTATTGAAAATAGCTAGGGGTGCTTCACTCTCACACTTTCCACTTGTGTTTGATGCCCTAGCACGCCTTGCCTCAGACCCAGAGCCTCAAGTACGTCAGGGCGCCGAACTGCTGGATCGCCTTGTAAAGGTAAATAGTTTTGGATTAAGGGAAATCTTTGTTAACAATTGCTACACACTTGAAATAATTGTGTAGTAGAGGCGTAAAAACATCCACTTCCCTATATATCCTATGATTTTTATCATCAGCAGTATCTTCATCAGGAACAGAAATATTAAAAATACTGTAGTTGTAAAGTGTAGCAACTATGGTAAAATCTATATGAGGTATTATAAATAACTAATAATAAAGGAGTGGAGACAACCCTAGACACAATATTGTCCATAGATTGAAAGCAAGCTTAGACATTAGACAAACCATATTCATACATGGAAATATTCTGTGTGACTGATAATGCAGATGGTACAATAGTTCTATGAGTTTGGATAATGAAAAAGTTGTGAAGTTAGAATCATCGTTTTGCATATGCATTTGGAATTGTTGGTTTGAATGTAGTTTTAAGAAGACGAAAATCATTTTCCATGTTATACTAGCTTCATTATTGAAGGTGTTGCGATTCTTGATGTTATCCAAGGCAAAAATTGCTTAAATTGATCATCTAAATGCAGGTGCAATCTGTTTTAAAAAAGTTGCCGTTATTATCATATTTGGCATTTATAGCAAATTCGACATATTGATAAATTTTCTCGTCTTTCAAGCTTGAAGACATAGTTCAAACATTGTTCTAACAGTATACAATTAAAATTGTTGTATAAGATTTATTATTAAATTAAAAAAATCATTGTAAAGCTAAAGTCTACACACTAGTGTCCCAAAAAATGCATATATGTTTGCATGTCAAGCATAAGGCTTTTTTTATAGAATAAGGTTGACAAATAACAGTAAGTAAAAAATAAATAGTAGTAATGCCTCATTTCCAGTTAAAATGGGTTTCCCTTTCTCTACACTTACCATACGAAAAACAGCAAGATAATGTTCCTATTTTATGCTGGTATTCTTTGAGAGCATGGTCCTACTTCGTACAGGGTGACTCATTCATGATATAACCATAATAAAGCTACAGCTTGGCTCTATCACATAACTGTTGAAGATGTTAAACTGTTTCATTTACACCAACCATTATTAAATTGAGTTGATAGTAGAGGGATACATGTACTTGAGTGTCTACTAGACACTCATGTCTAGAGCAGTTTGCGAACATTTGGTACAGGATATAGTGACGGAGAGTGGTGTATTCGACGTGTCCGCGTTCGTGCCACTGTTACGTGAGCGTCTGTACGTTCGCGGTGCGTGCGCGCGGCAATTCGCCGCAGCGTGGGTGTCGGCGCTGGACGCGCTGCCCGAGCTGCCGCTGCTGCCGCACCTGCGGGACCTGCTCGACCCCATGCTGCACATGCTGGACGAGCCGCACCCGGAGATCCGCCGCATGTACGTAACTGCACACTGCACGTTCGTGTCGGCGCTGGACGCTGTTCCTTTTCTCAGCTTGCATGCAACTTACCATCCTCGATTACTTGCTTTCCAGCTTGTAAAATAATAGGTCGGGGAAAAGGTTCCTTCGTAATTTAATTTGTGTAAAATTGAAGAAAATTTTTATTGTTGTACTGTTTGTATCTGGCTGGTTTTAAAGAAAAATAAACATAAAACTTTTCCGTCATTTTTCAAGAGATGTAGTGCTGGTGTAGTAGTGGACATGAGCCTGTCCTTCTTTTAGGAAGGATTTGTAATAATCAATATGATTTTCACGGCTGCCGCTGTTACCGCCATTTATAGTAGGCCAAACGGACTTTCTTGCTCCAAAAGAAGAGCCAGAAAGACCTTAGAGTATGTTGATTATGACTATGTTGCCTCTTCAATATGTTTATATAACTATTTTCATATTACAAATACAATAAGAAGTTATTAAACATAGGAATCCCACATAGATTGCCTCATAGAGGTGAGTTTGACATAGTTGCGACGCTTTGCGGGCGACTTGGCAATCACAGTTTTTTTATTATTTAAGTTGTTATTAGGAAAATGCTGCTGCCGATCTCCTGTTCCAGTTACCCTCTGTTGCCTCTTACGATAACCATGCGACGACATGGGCTAGTAAATTTCTTTACACCGCTACTATATAGTCAATGAGGCAATCTATGGGAGAAGCCTATGTTTAGCTGTGGACTTTTAGGACCATAGGCGGTAATGGATGAAATGGAATGGAAGTAGTTCCTGAAAATAAAAGGTAAAAGTTGCGTTTTTTACAGGTGTGAAGTTCAACTTAACGAATTTTTAAGAAGTATTAAGAAGGACCCATCGCAAGTTGATTTTCAGTCAATGATTAACATACTCATTACACATGCACAATCTCCAGAAGAACTCGTGCAGGTGAGTTTAATTATATACACTACTTTAATACATAATATGATATATTATACTATTAAAGCTATGCCGATATAACCTACAGCCTATGTGTTACTGTACGCAAGCACAGAATAAATAATAGTTCTACGTAACACAAGTGGTAAAATTAAAAAATTATACAACGACTTCAATATAAATAAAATGAGAAATTATTAATGTACCTAGTCTAAGTCAATTAAATGCGCATTATTAACGATAACTCAAAAACTACTGGTCAGATCTTGATCAAATTTATATGGGACCGCGTGAAAAACACCGGCTTACATAAATTGAGAACCTGCTACATTTTTTTGGAATCGGTTGAAAATATGCAACCATATTAGAGCACTATATTGTGTCACTTAAATAGGAGGATACTAAGGCACCTCATTGATTAAACCCGCCTTTTTTTTCATACAACATGTAAATGAACATTTATTCATTATATATGTTCGTTTGTTTGTCCTTAAACAATTTGTAGCCTTTTATTTACGTTTTACGATACGATTATAAGCCAGTGCTTGGCTGCTATGCTACCTGGTGGTAAGTAGTAATGAAGCACTGGATAGTAAATCGCACTCTCTTAGCGTAATAAAAGCCTGAACACTCTTGCCTTGAAGACGCCCAGATCGTAATCGGGTGGAAAGACAGACGCCCGCAAATTACTCCACGCCTTTGCCTTACGCATTACGAAAGACGAAACAAACTGTTTGTTTCGAATGCGTGGAATATTGACAACAAAGGAGCGAAGCAGGGCTGCCAGATGGAAAAAACGCGTGATCGTACGCCAACTATAAAAAAGTCGTATGTCAAGGAGATTTTGAAATGAAAAAATCGTACAATCCAAAAGTAAACAGCTTTTATTCAAACTTACAAAAATTTGTTAAGCAATGATCAAAAATATATTAAAACTAGTTATTACAGTTATACAAATTTGCTGAGGTCATCATTTTCAACATTTCTTCTGTTGGCTTAAACTTCGTACAATTTTCGTTTCTTCTTATCAGTTGCTTAGCTAATAATGTTCCATTCAATGTTTTGGATAAACTGTTTAAAACTGGATAAACATAACAAATTCAAAATGAATTGAGCCAGTGTTTTATAATTTTCAAATTGTTTTATGATGACGCCCCAAAACTCATCGGTATTTAAAGTTTAGTCAATTTTATCTAAAATGTTGGGTAAACTGCGCCATTCGTCATCTATTGCCTGTATTGTTTGAATGTCGTCGGGTTTTACTATTCTTGGAACAAGTATCATGAGTGGTAGTAAGGTAGGTACTTTATATCTGTAAGTACTGGAAGAAGCATTGGTAGGTTCAACACAATCAAGTTTTGATAGAATAGGATCGTCTAGGTCATATCTTTTTTATTTCTTTAGCGCTTGTGATTAGAAAATGCCGACAGCGATGAAAAAACTCCTTGGTGGCAGGAATCTGACGACGCAATTCAGGCTGCGTAATTTTATTCATCACTCGAATTCCCAAATACATTTGATTGTCTTTTAACCATTTCTCTTGACGTTCTATTTCAATATTAGAAAGCTCAGATTTGTTGACATAATCACGATCTAAAAAACATAGCAAAATATCTTTATACATTTCGCGCACCTTTTCGTTTAAAGATGTGATCACTACTTTTTCCGATTGAAAGAGTTTATTGAAGCTGGTAAATTTGGGCAAAATCCATGACAGGAACTGTTTTAATATAATAACGCTGCATGAATAGATTAGTTAAGCTATTAAATATCAGTTTTGTTGAAACAAGACGTTCATTCAACCAACAGTCAGTGAAGTACAATTTTAATGCATCCCATTGTTCTAATATTCGGTCAACTACCGCCACCAATGACAACCAACGTGTTTGTGATGGATGCAATATCTTATAAGGTGAAGCACTCACAAATTCTTGAAACTGGTGGAGGCGGAATTGTCATTGATTCAGATGCGCAAAGGTGTGCCGAGTGGCAAACACATTTTATAACAAATATTCCTGGCAAATTTTCTTTGAGTCTGCTCGCCACAGAGTTGTTCCCACCCATCATCACGTTGCAACCGTCTGCACCAATACCAATCATATTTTCAGTCGATATATCCTGGGCAGAAAAAGACTTCATAAGTATGTTGTACAAATTTTCTCCAGTAGCACCTTCTGCTGCTGTTTTTTGATCATCAGAACTGAATATTTTGCAAAGATCTCAAAACTTACTCACAATTTTATTGTCTTCAGCGTCATAATATCTAACAATTATACATGAGTGCCTTGTGAGTGCTTACATCAGTTGACTCATCAGACATGGCACTGAATTTTTCAGTTTTCAGTTTTTCGACCAGAGACGAGTTTTCACTTTCACCAATAACTTCGGTGATTACAGCTATAGCTTTCGTTCTTTTCATAGAAATTTTATGCTCCACTCTGAAATCTTCCAATATACCATTTATCAAATCTGACATATGATCTGCAGCTTAGAACGCAATATTATGCTCAGCTAGAAAACCTGCCAACATGATTTCAGTCACTAAAATAATTTTATTTTTCGGAACTGCTCCTTTTGTAAAAAAATGCAGACATGATATTACGCTGTTTGGATTTGCTTGGTATTGCAGATATTGGCTTAGCTTTTATATGCTTTTTCCTAGAACCGTGTCCGTCTCCTTCATTTTCATCACTCATTCTTGTTTGAACTAATTAAATTAACATAAAAAAGAACTCAAAATAGGATACAGATCGAAACTGAACTGATAAGAAAAACAGGTTTTTGACAAGTCGCAGTTATTCCCGCAAGAGAAAAATAATTAGTTTTGTAAAAATGCAAACAAATACAGTCTTTACGTGATTGTATAAAAGGTCTTCATTTAAGTAAAAGATCTAGGAACGTATAAGATTGTTGAGGAATTCCCCGAACATAACTCATACTTGTCGATGGGCGCGTTCTTTTCATTATGAATTATGAAATGTTGCCAAGTAAGTATATGAAATGTTTCCAAATATTAAATTATCTTTAAAAGTCGTACATTTTCCGTGCGATCTCGGTCTAGCGATCGTACATGAGTAAAATGCTAAAACATCGTAGGAGTACGATTTAAATCGTACATCTGGCAGCCCTAGAGCGAAGGCCCGTCGACCACCAGGTAGGGATGTTCGATGATCATTCATGTTAAAAATTAAAACATCGATGTTTTAACATCGACGTTGACACCTCAAACATCGAAACGAACCCAAAATCGATTATTCTGAACTTGCGAACAATGCGAACCCGTGAAATCAATATCAACTAAATCTTGCATCTCTGAAGATTTAAAATTTTGAATAATTCAGAATTCTTTAACGCATCGCTATCCTAAAAAAATATTATTATGGTGTTCAAACTTAATTGTCAAGTGTCATCTGTAATGTCACAGTGGTTACTGCTTTCGCTTTATTTTGTAGTATCGTTGTCGGTTGTCGCATAATAACTATTCTACATAAATTGATATTCAAGTTAATTGTTACTTTTTCCCTTGCTGTGTATACCTTCATAATTTAGAAACAATATGTAAGTATCTACACTTATACAAAAAACATCGATAATGGTCTACATCGATGTTTTGAGTAGGCTAAACATCGAACATCGATGTTGAGCTATCGATGCCAACATCGATGTCATCATCGATGTTTCTGCAACATCGATCATCCCTACGACCAGGTTATCCGATGGCCAAGAGGAATAAGGGCTTGTAATTCCTGCGCATACTATCCGAAACGCATCTTAATATATATTTTCTGTTTCTTCTTCGACTTTCATTTTTAAATAATAAGGTTTCACAAACCATTCTAACAATTAAGCTTAGTTTTAGAAACATTTAGGTTCAAATAAGTCTGCAATTATATATCGAGTTATAAATTTTTAAACCCTGTTAAACCTTAACCTAGCGTCGATAAGAAATATAGAGTTATTTTTTAAATAATTTTCAGTTGACAGCAATAACGTGGATCAAGGAGTTTGTGGAGCTGGCTGGACCCAGCATGCTACCATACGCTTCAGGCATTTTATGTGCAGTGTTGCCTTGTCTGGCCTATTCTGATGAGGCAAGAAAAAGTATCCTTTGTTCATAATTTTTGCTTTAAATGTGAAAAGTCAGGTTCACTGGACCAAAAATCATTTTGGACACGAAATTTCTACACTTCGGTATTACGAGAACCACATCTTTATTACTTCCCTTTCGTGTGTGTCTGTTCGGGTTGAATTTAGTAATTGATTTTAAACTAACTTCCCGATGAGCTAGAAGCTAGAGACTTGAAATTTTGAACATAGCTTAGAATCGGATAATAATATAAGAATATAAATAAAATAAAGTAGCAGGTAAAAAAAATTCTTGTTTTGTTTTTATAAAACTGAAGTGATAAACGAACTTTCAATTCCCTTGATGGTAAGTTGCTACTGCAGCCCATGGACACCTGTAGCTAACTACAAACAAAGAAGGCTACAGATACTTTGTCACTTCTTGAGACTATGCCAACATGTCAAAATGAATACCATATAGCCTATCCTACTTTTATTATAAACGTGAAAGTTTGTGAGGATGTATGGATGTTTGTTACTCTTCCCCGCAAAAACTACTGAATGTATTTTAATGAAACTTTACAATAATGTAGCTCATACATCGCAACAACACATATGCTATAATTAATATAGATATTTTGTAAATTGGTCAAAATATAACGATATGTGTTAAGTAAGTCGGAAAAAAATCTGATTTGCTATTTTAGCGTGCGGTGGAAAAAACTGTAAAATGTATGGTTAAATTGTTTCTTCTAAGTAGTTCCACAAAAAAGTCCACGACAGTATCTTTTATATGTAAGCCATTATTACCAAAATTAGTGAACGGTAAATGTAATAAAATTTGATACTTTATTTCCAATGCACATTTTGCAGTAACAAATGGATTTTATCAAAATAAATACTTTAATCGCTTCTGATGTTCAATGTAGATAAGCTTTGACTTTTAAATTACGTTATTTGGTCAAATATTTTGAAAATAATAGCGATATAAAATTGTGCGGTCCGGAGCGTGCAGGGCGGTTGGGCTTATTGCGGGCGATAAACATTACTCATCGCCGCGTGAGCAAATGTACCTCTTCACGCTTAACCCGCTTCACCGATTCAGATGAAATTTGGTATCGAGATAGTTTAAGTCCCGGGGAAGGAAATACGATAGGTTTGATCACGGAAATCGTCTCCCAAGAGGGTAATGGAGTTTACTATGAAACTGCGATTATTGATGGATCACCTATGGTTGAAAGTATAATATCTACGTGGAAGAAGTCGCGGGCAAAATCTAGTATAACTATACTGGCTCTCAGAAAGTCTCCCAGTAATAGACACATTTAAATCTCATAATATACTAATTATTTTATACAAATGATAGCAATAAAACTACCTTATCTTAAAAACCTTAGCTACAAAGTCCAGATATACGGGAAACCGCTGCAACCGTAAACTTTCAACTTACAAAGCTCGTAGCATCAAGCTCGCCTGAGTCTACTCCTGCTCCAGAAGGTACGGAAGAAGAAGAAGCGATTGCTGATAAAACGTTAACAGAGAGTGACATAAATGAAGACGAACTATCAAATAAAGAAGGAAAGTTGAACTTGGACGCCGTGGTGAGAGTACTTACGCAAATGCTGCACCATAGTTCTGTGCATACCAAAGTTGCTGTTTTGGACTGGATTTTGCATCTGTACAATAAACTGCCTAATGAGGTATATGTAATTAAATATATTTTTTAACTATGCTAAGAGAATGCTTAACTACTATCGCACCTGATGGCAAGTGGTAATGCAGTTGAAGATGATAACATAATTAACTTTATAAAAGCCTATTCACTCTTGCTAGTGTTTAAAATGCATCCCAATATTATTTATTGTAAATTTATACAAATTAAAATAACAATAGATAATTTCTGCTTATCTATTTTCATTGTACTTTTTCGAATGTTAAGCAGTCTATGATATCATTTTTTTAAAATAAGAAATACGAATACTACACATGCAATAAAACTAATTTTACGGATTTTATCGCGTTTATTTTTAACTTTTTTAATTCCCGACGTTTCGTTTAAAAAAGTTAAAATTAAACGCGATAAAATCCGTAAAATTAGTAATATTCCATAGGAAAAACAACTTAACTGAATATTCCAAGTGACGAAATTCTATATAAATGAAGTCAGTGCTAACGTTATTCTGCTCTGCTTTATTAACCGGGAAGCAGACTTTCGTTTGTTTACTAACTGTGTTTACTGTTTGCACGCAAATTCGGCATTTAGAGAAAAATCATTGATTTAATGCGCGGTACGTGTAGTCGTTACGCTGTAACAAAGGCTCTTCATACATTATGATACTTACCATTCTAGTAAAATCTAGAGGGTGAGTCGCCAATGAATATGCCACATATATTTGATCGGTGACTTGCACACTTTGCACCTGTTTCATGATATACGCCGTGTCCGTCGCCAGTTCGTTGGGTCTCCAACAAATATTTTCAAAATGGCGACGGAAAAACAATTTAATACAAAAAGTTGAAAATTGTTTAAATGTTGTATTTTTTGATAAATAACAGGAGTCAACAATTTAAAAAGATGCAACAATTTAATAAGACATTCGGTTAATATGATATTAAAAATTCTGTCACCTTGTGCATTTCGTGCAGCAATTGAATTCTGCAATTTATATTTATATCAATGAATAGATGGGTTCAGTGTTTTTATATCTTTTTTTTGGTGACAACTTCTGTTTCTTAAAAAGAGGAAACCTACAAGTACTTCTTCATTACTAGAATTACTGGTCATAGTGACTGAGTTAAAAACGAGGAAGTGATGAAATTTCTTTTTAGTACTATAATGTACGAACTTCGGGTAGCAAACAAGAATTCAACTAGTATCCGATCAAAGGATCGTCTCTTGCTAGTGTCTAATGTATGAGAGGTCTTGAGAGTATTTGGGCCTCAAGTATGTTTTATAGAATAAGGGTGATAAACAAGCACACAGTCCACCTAATGGTAAGCGGGTACTGTGGCCATAGACACTTAAATATAATTTCTGTTACAATTTAAAATGCAGATGCGTTGACGTTGAGGATTAAGACCGAATGCTCCGTATCTAGTATGAAGGGTATTAAATTTTCTACATTTACCATAGGAAACACAGCAGTATTAAGCTGGTATTTTACGGCGGTATTCTGTGAGCGTGGTAGTTCCCCGGTGGAGCCGAGGCATTCGTGGTACAAGATAATGTGTGCGCGTGGTAACAACGTGGCGTGTGGCGGTGTGTGCAGATGTACGGGCACACGGAGGTCGTGTTCGCGCGCGTGGTGGCCGTGCTGGCCGACGCGGCCGGCGACGTGCTGCGGCGCGCGCTCGCCGTGCTGGCCGAGATCTGCTCCTGCCCCGGTACGCACACACGCACACGCACACGCACTCGCCGTGCTGGCCGAGATCTGCTCCTGCCCCGGTACGCACACACGCACACGCACACGCACTCGCCGTGCTGGCCGAGATCTGCTCCTGCCCCGGTACGCACACACGCACACGCACACGCACTCGCCGTGCTGGCCGAGATCTGCTCCTGCCCCGGTACGCACACACGCACACGCACACGCACTCGCCGTGCTGGCCGAGATCTGCTCCTGCCCCGGTACGCACACACGCACACGCACACGCACTCGCCGTGCTGGCCGAGATCTGCTCCTGCCCCGGTACGCACACACGCACACGCACACGCACTCGCCGTGCTGGCCGAGATCTGCTCCTGCCCCGGTACGCACACACGCACACGCACACGCACTCGCCGTGCTGGCCGAGATCTGCTCCTGCCCCGGTACGCACACACGCACACGCACACGCACTCGCCGTGCTGGCCGAGATCTGCTCCTGCCCCGGTACGCACACACGCACACGCACACGCACTCGCCGTGCTGGCCGAGATCTGCTCCTGCCCCGGTACGCACACACGCACACGCACACGCACTCGCCGTGCTGGCCGAGATCTGCTCCTGCCCCGGTACGCACACACGCACACGCACACGCACTCGCCGTGCTGGCCGAGATCTGCTCCTGCCCCGGTACGCACACACGCACACGCACACGCACTCGCCGTGCTGGCCGAGATCTGCTCCTGCCCCGGTACGCACACACGCACACGCACACGCACTCGCCGTGCTGGCCGAGATCTGCTCCTGCCCCGGTACGCACACACGCACACGCACACGCACTCGCCGTGCTGGCCGAGATCTGCTCCTGCCCCGGTACGCACACACGCACACGCACACGCACTCGCCGTGCTGGCCGAGATCTGCTCCTGCCCCGGTACGCACACACGCACACGCACACGCACTCGCCGTGCTGGCCGAGATCTGCTCCTGCCCCGGTACGCACACACGCACACGCACACGCACTCGCCGTGCTGGCCGAGATCTGCTCCTGCCCCGGTACGCACACACGCACACGCACACGCACTCGCCGTGCTGGCCGAGATCTGCTCCTGCCCCGGTACGCACACACGCACACGCACACGCACTCGCCGTGCTGGCCGAGATCTGCTCCTGCCCCGGTACGCACACACGCACACGCACACGCACTCGCCGTGCTGGCCGAGATCTGCTCCTGCCCCGGTACGCACACACGCACACGCACACGCACTCGCCGTGCTGGCCGAGATCTGCTCCTGCCCCGGTACGCACACACGCACACGCACACGCACTCGCCGTGCTGGCCGAGATCTGCTCCTGCCCCGGTACGCACACACGCACACGCACACGCACTCGCCGTGCTGGCCGAGATCTGCTCCTGCCCCGGTACGCACACACGCACACGCACACGCACTCGCCGTGCTGGCCGAGATCTGCTCCTGCCCCGGTACGCACACACGCACACGCACACGCACTCGCCGTGCTGGCCGAGATCTGCTCCTGCCCCGGTACGCACACACGCACACGCACACGCACTCGCCGTGCTGGCCGAGATCTGCTCCTGCCCCGGTACGCACACACGCACACGCACACGCACTCGCCGTGCTGGCCGAGATCTGCTCCTGCCCCGGTACGCACACACGCACACGCACACGCACTCGCCGTGCTGGCCGAGATCTGCTCCTGCCCCGGTACGCACACACGCACACGCACACGCACTCGCCGTGCTGGCCGAGATCTGCTCCTGCCCCGGTACGCACACACGCACACGCACACGCACTCGCCGTGCTGGCCGAGATCTGCTCCTGCCCCGGTACGCACACACGCACACGCACACGCACTCGCCGTGCTGGCCGAGATCTGCTCCTGCCCCGGTACGCACACACGCACACGCACACGCACTCGCCGTGCTGGCCGAGATCTGCTCCTGCCCCGGTACGCACACACGCACACGCACACGCACTCGCCGTGCTGGCCGAGATCTGCTCCTGCCCCGGTACGCACACACGCACACGCACACGCACTCGCCGTGCTGGCCGAGATCTGCTCCTGCCCCGGTACGCACACACGCACACGCACACGCACTCGCCGTGCTGGCCGAGATCTGCTCCTGCCCCGGTACGCACACACGCACACGCACACGCACTCGCCGTGCTGGCCGAGATCTGCTCCTGCCCCGGTACGCACACACGCACACGCACACGCACTCGCCGTGCTGGCCGAGATCTGCTCCTGCCCCGGTACGCACACACGCACACGCACACGCACTCGCCGTGCTGGCCGAGATCTGCTCCTGCCCCGGTACGCACACACGCACACGCACACGCACTCGCCGTGCTGGCCGAGATCTGCTCCTGCCCCGGTACGCACACACGCACACGCACACGCACTCGCCGTGCTGGCCGAGATCTGCTCCTGCCCCGGTACGCACACACGCACACGCACACGCACTCGCCGTGCTGGCCGAGATCTGCTCCTGCCCCGGTAGGCACACACGCACACGCACACGCACTCGCCGTGCTGGCCGAGATCTGCTCCTGCCCCGGTACGCACACACGCACACGCACACGCACTCGCCGTGCTGGCCGAGATCTGCTCCTGCCCCGGTACGCACACACGCACACGCACACGCACTCGCCGTGCTGGCCGAGATCTGCTCCTGCCCCGGTACGCACACACGCACACGCACACGCACTCGCCGTGCTGGCCGAGATCTGCTCCTGCCCCGGTAGGCACACACGCACACGCACACGCACTCGCCGTGCTGGCCGAGATCTGCTCCTGCCCCGGTACGCACACACGCACACGCACACGCACTCGCCGTGCTGGCCGAGATCTGCTCCTGCCCCGGTACGCACACACGCACACGCACACGCACTCGCCGTGCTGGCCGAGATCTGCTCCTGCCCCGGTACGCACACACGCACACGCACACGCACTCGCCGTGCTGGCCGAGATCTGCTCCTGCCCCGGTACGCACACACGCACACGCACACGCACTCGCCGTGCTGGCCGAGATCTGCTCCTGCCCCGGTACGCACACACGCACACGCACACGCACTCGCCGTGCTGGCCGAGATCTGCTCCTGCCCCGGTACGCACACACGCACACGCACACGCACGCACACGCACTCGCCGTGCTGGCCGAGATCTGCTCCTGCCCCGGTACGCACACACGCACACGCACACGCACTCGCCGTGCTGGCCGAGATCTGCTCCTGCCCCGGTACGCACACACGCACACGCACACGCACTCGCCGTGCTGGCCGAGATCTGCTCCTGCCCCGGTACGCACACACGCACACGCACACGCACGCACACGCACTCGCCGTGCTGGCCGAGATCTGCTCCTGCCCCGGTACGCACACACGCACACGCACACGCACTCGCCGTGCTGGCCGAGATCTGCTCCTGCCCCGGTACGCACACACGCACACGCACACGCACTCGCCGTGCTGGCCGAGATCTGCTCCTGCCCCGGTAGGCACACACGCACACGCACACGCACTCGCCGTGCTGGCCGAGATCTGCTCCTGCCCCGGTACGCACACACGCACACGCACACGCACTCGCCGTGCTGGCCGAGATCTGCTCCTGCCCCGGTAGGCACACACGCACACGCACACGCACTCGCCGTGCTGGCCGAGATCTGCTCCTGCCCCGGTACGCACACACGCACACGCACACGCACTCGCCGTGCTGGCCGAGATCTGCTCCTGCCCCGGTACGCACACACGCACACGCACACGCACTCGCCGTGCTGGCCGAGATCTGCTCCTGCCCCGGTACGCACACACGCACACGCACACGCACTCGCCGTGCTGGCCGAGATCTGCTCCTGCCCCGGTAGGCACACACGCACACGCACACGCACTCGCCGTGCTGGCCGAGATCTGCTCCTGCCCCGGTAGGCACACACGCACACGCACACGCACTCGCCGTGCTGGCCGAGATCTGCTCCTGCCCCGGTACGCACACACGCACACGCACACGCACTCGCCGTGCTGGCCGAGATCTGCTCCTGCCCCGGTACGCACACACGCACACGCACACGCACTCGCCGTGCTGGCCGAGATCTGCTCCTGCCCCGGTAGGCACACACGCACACGCACACGCACTCGCCGTGCTGGCCGAGATCTGCTCCTGCCCCGGTACGCACACACGCACACGCACACGCACTCGCCGTGCTGGCCGAGATCTGCTCCTGCCCCGGTACGCACACACGCACACGCACACGCACTCGCCGTGCTGGCCGAGATCTGCTCCTGCCCCGGTACGCACACACGCACACGCACACGCACTCGCCGTGCTGGCCGAGATCTGCTCCTGCCCCGGTAGGCACACACGCACACGCACACGCACTCGCCGTGCTGGCCGAGATCTGCTCCTGCCCCGGTACGCACACACGCACACGCACACGCACTCGCCGTGCTGGCCGAGATCTGCTCCTGCCCCGGTAGGCACACACGCACACGCACACGCACTCGCCGTGCTGGCCGAGATCTGCTCCTGCCCCGGTAGGCACACACGCACACGCACACGCACTCGCCGTGCTGGCCGAGATCTGCTCCTGCCCCGGTACGCACACACGCACACGCACACGCACTCGCCGTGCTGGCCGAGATCTGCTCCTGCCCCGGTACGCACACACGCACACGCACTCGCCGTGCTGGCCGAGATCTGCTCCTGCCCCGGTACGCACACACGCACACGCACACGCACTCGCCGTGCTGGCCGAGATCTGCTCCTGCCCCGGTACGCACACACGCACACGCACACGCACTCGCCGTGCTGGCCGAGATCTGCTCCTGCCCCGGTACGCACACACGCACACGCACACGCACTCGCCGTGCTGGCCGAGATCTGCTCCTGCCCCGGTAGGCACACACGCACACGCACACGCACTCGCCGTGCTGGCCGAGATCTGCTCCTGCCCCGGTACGCACACACGCACACGCACACGCACGCACACGCACTCGCCGTGCTGGCCGAGATCTGCTCCTGCCCCGGTACGCACACACGCACACGCACACGCACGCACACGCACTCGCCGTGCTGGCCGAGATCTGCTCCTGCCCCGGTACGCACACACGCACACGCACACGCACTCGCCGTGCTGGCCGAGATCTGCTCCTGCCCCGGTACGCACACACGCACACGCACACGCACTCGCCGTGCTGGCCGAGATCTGCTCCTGCCCCGGTAGGCACACACGCACACGCACACGCACTCGCCGTGCTGGCCGAGATCTGCTCCTGCCCCGGTACGCACACACGCACACGCACACGCACTCGCCGTGCTGGCCGAGATCTGCTCCTGCCCCGGTACGCACACACGCACACGCACACGCACTCGCCGTGCTGGCCGAGATCTGCTCCTGCCCCGGTACGCACACACGCACACGCACACGCACTCGCCGTGCTGGCCGAGATCTGCTCCTGCCCCGGTAGGCACACACGCACACGCACACGCACTCGCCGTGCTGGCCGAGATCTGCTCCTGCCCCGGTAGGCACACACGCACACGCACACGCACTCGCCGTGCTGGCCGAGATCTGCTCCTGCCCCGGTACGCACACACGCACACGCACACGCACTCGCCGTGCTGGCCGAGATCTGCTCCTGCCCCGGTAGGCACACACGCACACGCACACGCACTCGCCGTGCTGGCCGAGATCTGCTCCTGCCCCGGTACGCACACACGCACACGCACACGCACTCGCCGTGCTGGCCGAGATCTGCTCCTGCCCCGGTACGCACACACGCACACGCACACGCACTCGCCGTGCTGGCCGAGATCTGCTCCTGCCCCGGTAGGCACACACGCACACGCACACGCACTCGCCGTGCTGGCCGAGATCTGCTCCTGCCCCGGTACGCACACACGCACACGCACACGCACTCGCCGTGCTGGCCGAGATCTGCTCCTGCCCCGGTACGCACACACGCACACGCACACGCACTCGCCGTGCTGGCCGAGATCTGCTCCTGCCCCGGTACGCACACACGCACACGCACACGCACGCACACGCACTCGCCGTGCTGGCCGAGATCTGCTCCTGCCCCGGTACGCACACACGCACACGCACACGCACTCGCCGTGCTGGCCGAGATCTGCTCCTGCCCCGGTACGCACACACGCACACGCACACGCACTCGCCGTGCTGGCCGACATCTGCTCCTGCCCCGGTACGCACACACGCACACGCACACGCACTCGCCGTGCTGGCCGAGATCTGCTCCTGCCCCGGTAGGCACACACGCACACGCACACGCACTCGCCGTGCTGGCCGAGATCTGCTCCTGCCCCGGTACGCACACACGCACACGCACACGCACTCGCCGTGCTGGCCGAGATCTGCTCCTGCCCCGGTACGCACACAAGCACACGCACACGCACTCGCCGTGCTGGCCGAGATCTGCTCCTGCCCTGGTACGCACACACGCATACGCACACGCACTCGCCGTGCTGGCCGAGATCTGCTCCTGCCCCGGTAGGCACACACGCACACGCACACGCACTCGCCGTGCTGGCCGAGATCTGCTCCTGCCCCGGTACGCACACACGCACACGCACACGCACTCGCCGTGCTGGCCGAGATCTGCTCCTGCCCCGGTAGGCACACACGCACACGCACACGCACTCGCCGTGCTGGCCGAGATCTGCTCCTGCCCCGGTACGCACACACGCATACGCACACGCACTCGCCGTGCTGGCCGAGATCTGCTCCTGCCCCGGTACGCACACACGCACACGCACACGCACTCGCCGTGCTGGCCGAGATCTGCTCCTGCCCCGGTACGCACACACGCACACGCACACGCACTCGCCGTGCTGGCCGAGATCTGCTCCTGCCCCGGTACGCACACACGCATACGCACACGCACTCGCCGTGCTGGCCGAGATCTGCTTCTGCCCCATACATGTACACGTAAGCACGTACACGCACGCACTCACGCAAACGCACTCGCGCGCTACCCACATTCACTCATGCCGCGGTGTCCACGTTCCGCATCACCTACACTTATCAATGTTATCATTACAGCTTATCAAAAGTCCAATGCTGAACATAGGCTGCATTAATATTATTGACCTCATATTTACCATGGTGGACAGGTTATCAACCGTAATTTTTTATTATTTTGAGTTATTACCAGAAAGATGTTTACCATCCTAGCTCCAGCTCACCATTATCCATTCATTACAGCCTATAAAAGTCCACTAATGTAAATAGACGACCCCCTTGATTTACCTCATAGGAAAAATTATGCCACAGTTGCCACTGTAGGCGGGTTGACAATTTCTGTTCAAAAGTTTTTTTATTATTTAAACTTGTTACCAGGTAAATGCTCCTACACATCTCGTGTTCCAGCCTTCCTCTATCGCCTTTAAGATACCGAGGAAACGGTATATAGTATTGAATATTTTTATACTGCCGCGGCACTGATAAATTCTTAATTGGCAATTATAAAAATATAAATAATAGCTTGTCAACATAACTAACTTAACGACTAACCCTTACACTGGTCAACGTGCGTGATATTTACTAATACATCAATGTTTTCACTCTCACCCACCCTCGCATACTTTTATGCACTCGTACTGACCATGTGTCTAAAGCCATGGACATCGTGTCCACACGCCTGCCCACCATGACTCAAATTTTTTTACACCAACACTGAGAAGATCTATCTATTCTATCATGTATCCTTTTCATAAATACGAAAAATGCAATATAAATTAAATAGAATTAAGTTTTACAATATCATTAAGAGTAGGAACATCAAATTATAAGATATGATTTTTTATATATTGTAATGCCCACCACCCGATTACGCAAATCTATAATAAAATTAAATACGTACCAGACTACCAGACAGTTATGGAACTACCCATATGAAAGTCAAAATCACGATTAATAAAGTACGTATGATCCAACAACCATACATTTAACTTTATGCTGATGCGGTTTGAACTGCTGCACCGCGAATCACTCATAATGCAGCTGTTCACGCTCAAATGGTGGTTTCAAGACTTGACGACGGAGGGCGCTCGGCTGGATACGGCGCGTTCATAACCGGTAGAAGTGCGGGCGGTTAAAGGGAGTTGTTTTTTTTTTTTTGTTGCCAGCTGGCCGTGTCCGGAGATTGCACGTGGTTGGTTCCTACCGGTGGCGGGGTCGAGTTAGTTGCTCGAATACAGTGCTATCGAGAGCACGTCGTGAAGTCGCCCGGGAAACCTCCATCTTTTAGAAAATAATTGTTGCCACGCGAAACGGAAGGGACATTTGATCCGAACATTCGGTATTCGTGTTGTGTATTACGCTTTATAATAAACGAAAGTTAATAGACTGACATAGTGAAGAAGAAAGAAAGTGACTGTGGGTGACGCCGCTGGAGATTAGCACAATTTGGAGCGGTGCCGAAGTCCGGGTTGCTGCTGACTTCAACGGTCCAGTCAGGTCTATCACAACCAACACCACAAAAACACCACTACACTCAACACATACACACCTCCGGCCTGACCGAGCCCTGAGACGGCAGTCGCCTCAGATACAGGTAAGTAATCTCTATTTGACTAGCCTCCCCATTAAATTGTAGTAGGATAAAACATTTTCCATATAGCTTAGTATTATAGGAAATTCTTACATATAGCCACTCGGGCTCGAACTTGCGGCTGCTCGTTGAATCTTACGCTCATGGGCCCCGGGAGATTCGACATTTGCAGGGGCAGCTGTAGGCCGTAACAGCAGCTATGTTCAAATTAAACTCAGCGTGTGTGATAAACTGCTAAAGTTACAACACGTGTACTTACTTTATACGCCACTCATATTTACTATCGTCTTAAACTATCTTTAAACTACATAGTTATAAACTAATTTAACTATGAAAACAGCTGTACGAGTCCCAAATTGTGGCCCGTACAAAGGCTCTTCTGAAACTTTAATATGGTTAATGTTTTATACATTTAATCAATATATTTATTAGCATTTGATAAACTTGTTTGCAGGTGACCTAGAGTCCAGTCCTTATTATTATAAATTCCTACAGGCGCTATTAAAGTTGCTGGCAGCCGATGAAAATTTATTAGAAGATAGAGGAGCGTTTATTATAAGGTTAGCAACATTGCTATAATATGTAGGAGTAAATAATTTTTGCCTGGTAGAGCCAAGCCGCTATTATATGGTTGTTGCACGAATGGGTCGGCTTGACCGTGGTAGGACCATTCTCTCACAGAATACTAGCGTAAAATAGCCGCTTAATGCTGCGTTATTTCGTATAATGAGTGTAGAGAACCGGAGACCCTTTTTACTGGATACGAAGCATTCAATCTTCCTCAGGGGTGACAACGCATCTGCATTTTGATTCTTTATCGAGGATTAACGTAGATGTCTATGGGCCACAGTATCCACTTACCATGAGGTAAAGTGTGCTCGTTTTATATCCTTAAGCCCTCGCACACATCCCTCGAAACACATCCCTCGCAACACATCCCTCGCAATATATCCCTTACACACATCCCTCGTACACATCCCTCGCAACACATCCCTCACACACATCGCTTGCAAAACACATACCTCGCACACATCCTTCGAAACACATCCCTCGCAACACATCCCTCGCACACATCTCTCGCAACACATCCCTCGCAACATATTACTCGCACATATCCCTCGCAACACATCCCTCGTAACACATCCCTCGCACACATCCCTCGCACACATCCCTCGCGCACATCCCTCGCAATATATCCCTCACACACATCCCTCGCACACATTCTTCCCTTGTTTTGTACGTACAATAACCTCGCTCCGCTGAGCTGTTTCCACTAGATCTGTGCTGATCGAGGCTAGGTAAATGAAGTGATTCTATTGGTTCTTAACAAACACATCCCTCGCATATCTCTGGTGGAAACGCAGCCTAAGTCTATAAAATATTAACCAACAATCACAAACATTTAAAAATATCGTTTTTACAGGCAACTATGTGTGTTGTTAAACGCCGAAGACATATACAAGGCCCTATCAAAGATACTGCTTGAGGAGAAGAATCTCCGGTTCGCCGCGGTCATGGTGGATGTGTTGAATACAATTCTGCTCACAGCTGCGGAACTCTACGATTTGCGGTTGCAGCTACGTAATATGGAAAAGCCAGTAAATTACTTTCATATTTGATTCAACAGCACATTGGCTAGAATTTTAAGTAGGAATATTAGTGAATTGTCCAGAAAAACTTACACCTGTCCAGTAGTGGACTTTTACACGGTGATGATATAGAAGAAGAAGACAATATATACACAATATATTGTGATTATTAGACCATTAATAGTCATTCTCTAAATATGTTCGGTAAAATTGCGTGGTAGAGCCATGCTGCAGCTATATTATGGTTGTAGCACGAAAGGGTCGGCTCGACTGGGATGATGCTGCTGTGTGTTTAATGGTGAGTGTAGAGAACCCTTTTTCCTGGAAACGAGGCACTCCATCTTAGTCCTCACACGTGTGACAACGCGTCTGCATTTTGGTTCTTAATCGAGGATAAATGTAGATGTCTATGGGCCACAGCATCCACTTACCATCAGGTGGACTGTGTTCTCGTTTGTCACCCTTATTCTATTTAATAAAAAAACTGATTTTAGGTTATACCTGAAATATATTATTATGCTGTTAGCCAAGCATTTGATCACTTTACTAGCTATTCGCAAGTAAAATACAAGAATTTATTTTACAACTTTTTAATCTATTCGATAATTATGTAATGGTATATTGGTTCTTAAGCCCGATAAATATTTTATAATCTTCTTATGCTTAGTACTTAATTAAAATTTCACAGATTACCCCAAGGGTCTATTTTGGGAACAGTAGAATTTCTATTCTGTTTCTATATTAACGTTATGTGAAATTGGAATTTTAATGTTTATGTATATGATCTACTCTCAAAATATCCTAAGTTATATAATCCTTTTTTTATATAATAAGCCCTCACGAACCATACAAAACACAGCAGCATTAAGCTGCTATTTCACGCTGATATTTTGTGAGAGCGTGGTACTACCCCGGTCGAGCCGACCCATTCATGCTAGAATCTTAATATAGTTGTAGTATGGCTCTACTACGTTTAAAATGATGGCAAGTGACCAATACCGCCCACGAACAACTGCAACACCAGGTGCAGTGCAGATACGTTGGCGTGCCTTTTAAAAAAGAATAGACTTTTTTATAGAAAATCCCTACGTCGTATCAAAACTATCTTTCTCTCTTTGTTTTCTTTTTTAAATATAGAATATGGGTGAACAACGAGCATACAGTCCACCTGGGTCTCTAAGTCGTATCAAAACTATCTTTTTTCTCTTTTTTTTAAATATAGAATATGGGTGACCAAAGTCCACCTGATGGTAAGTGATTGCTGTGGGCCATAGACATCTACATATATTTATCCTCGTTTGCGAATTAAAATGCAGATGCGTTGTCAGCCGTTCGGAATAAGATGGAATGCTTCTTTTCTAGTAAAGGGGTATCCGGTTCTCTTCACTCACCATACGAAATATACCAGCGTACAATAGCAGCATTAAGCTGCTATTGTACGCTGGTATTCTGTGAGGGCGTGGTCATACCACGGTCGAGCCGACCCATTCGTGCTACAACTATAATATAGCTGCACTGTGGCTCTACCACGTAAAATAGAATAGAATAGAAATTAAGTATTTAAAAATGTTGTCTATAATGAAAGTTGAGCAAGATTTAATATGATAATCGTATTAGCAAGTAATAACTAATTTGGGACCCTTCTTGGAGTGATCTGAGGCTATGTCGATAAGGTTAACATCATACGAGGCGATATGGTGGCAATAAGATGGTGTGATGTTGTTGTGTTGTCTGTGGTCAGGGCACGATGTCGCTGTTCAGGTCGCTGTACCTGTGCTGGTGCCACAGCCCAGTGTCGCTGCTGGCGCTGTGCCTGCTCACACACCACTACGTGCACTGCAACCGACTCATCGCCACTTTGTATCCTTTGCACGTGTTACAAATATCTTTAAAATATAAAATCCACATTACAAGCATTAAACCACATGTAAAAGCATTAATGCGATTTTATTACTGCTCATCTATTGCATGATATACAACATCTACTTTTAATTTAATAATATTTTATTTGGTGAGCCTTAACATAATAACAGCGGTGACTTGGAGATCACAGTGGATTTCTTGACAGAAGTCGATAAATTAGTGCAGCTCATCGAATCACCAATATTTGCGTGTAAGTATATTTTATTATCAACATACATACATATATTGATTGCCCGCAAAAGTGAAGACTTACTATGATAAAGATGTTAAAAATAAATTAGATCAAAACCCGCGTAATAAAATAAAATAATGTATCGGATATTATTTACTTAATTTTTGCGTGTGTGCATACGTGCGTGCGTACGTGCATGCGTGCGTGCGTGCGTGCATGCGTGCGTGCGTGCGTACGTACGTGCGTGCATGCGTGCGTGTGTGGTGTGGTGAGGTGTGGTGTGGTGTAGTGTGGTTGGTGTATGAGGTCACATTCAGTACATTATTCAGCAATTAGTCTGATGCGGCCTTCCAAAAAATGGTAAGAAACGCAAGAAGCCCAAGCAGGAGCGATACAAATGGCTCAGGTCCGTGTTTTGTAGCATTCTCTTAGTTGTGTTTAACGCTGAATCGTATGACTCATTAAGAGATCGCTTTAATTCCCTATTTATAATTTTGTGATAAGTGAATCCGGGACATTGAATGTCGAATTGGAACTACTGTCCTTACTGTGTTGGGTATCACGTGTTCGATTCTACGATGAATGTGGAATTAGGCGAGTTTAAGTTAGTTAAATGTACAATGAAGCTGATAGACTGAAATAGTGACAAGGAAGAAAGAAATGGTCCAGCGCTGGAGCCTGCTGGAGCGATGCAGCATTTTGGGGCAGCCTGGAACTCGGCCGCTGCTGATCGCCTAAGGTGGTCAAGTTCTCACACATTTACACATCACTGTACACTACTTGCCATTCACCTTACACCCACTCCCGTCCTGACCGAGCCTTGGTGCGAAGTTAGCTTCTGATACTGGTACATAATATGTGTTTCTAGCATTCTCCCATATAGCTTAGTATTATAGGAAATTCTTCCATATAGCCACTCGGGCTCGAACCTGCGGCTGCTCGTTGAATCTTCCGCTCATGGGCCCCGGATATTGAACCTTTGCAGGAGCACTGCGGCCCGTAACATAAGATATACAGGAAGTCGATGGATGGAGGTGGCTTAGGACCGTGCTTTGTGGCCTTCCTTAGGGGAAGCCTATGTTCAGCAGTGGACTTATATTATGATGATAATGATAATGTTCAGACCTGCGGCTGGAGCTGCTGGGCGGCGCGCAGAGCGAGGCGCTGCGCGGTGCGCTGTTCGGGCTGCTGATGCTGCTGCCGCAGAGCGACGCCTTCCACGCGCTGCGGCACCGCCTACACGCAGCGCCGCACCACCCCTACCTGAAACGGTGCGTACTCTGTACTGACACTGCTGCTGCTGCGGGTGCTGATGCTGCTGCCGCAGAGTGACGCCTTCCACGCGCTGCGGCACCGCCTACACGCAGCGCCGCACCACCCCTACCTGCAACGGTGCGTACTCTGTACTGACACTGCTGCTGCTGCGGGTGCTGATGCTGCTGCCGCAGAGTGACGCCTTCCACGCGCTGCGGCACCGCCTACACGCAGCGCCGCACCACCCCTACCTGAAACGGTGCGTACTCTGTACTGACACTGCTGCTGCTGCGGGTGCTGATGCTGCTGCCGCAGAGTGACGCCTTCCACGCGCTGCGGCACCGCCTACACGCAGCGCCGCACCACCCCTACCTGCAACGGTGCGTACTCTGTACTGACACTGCTGCTGCTGCGGGTGTCGATGCTGCTGCCGCAGAGTGACGCCTTCCACGCGCTGCGGCACCGCCTACACGCAGCGCCGCACCACCCCTACCTGAAACGGTGCGTACTCTGTACTGACACTGCTGCTGCTGCGGGTGCTGATGCTGCTGCCGCAGAGTGACGCCTTCCACGCGCTGCGGCACCGCCTACACGCAGCGCCGCACCACCCCTACCTGCAACGGTGCGTACTCTGTACTGACACTGCTGCTGCTGCTGGTGCTGATGCTGCTGCCGCAGAGCGACGCCTTCCACGCGCTGCGGCACCGCCTACACGCAGCGCCGCACCACCCCTACCTGAAACGGTGCGTACTCTGTACTGACACTGCTGCTGCTGCGGGTGCTGATGCTGCTGCCGCAGAGTGACGCCTTCCACGCGCTGCGGCACCGCCTACACGCAGCGCCGCACCACCCCTACCTGCAACGGTGCGTACTCTGTACTGACACTGCTGCTGCTGCTGGTGCTGATGCTGTTGCCGCAGAGTGACGCCTTCCACGCGCTGCGGCACCGCCTACACGCAGCGCCGCACCACCCCTACCTGCAACGGTGCGTACTCTGTACTGACACTGCTGCTGCTGCTGGTGCTGATGCTGCTGCCGCAGAGTGACGCCTTCCACGCGCTGCGGCACCGCCTACACGCAGCGCCGCACCACCCCTACCTGCAACGGTGCGTACTCTGTACTGACACTGCTGCTGCTGCTGGTGCTGATGCTGCTGCCGCAGAGTGACGCCTTCCACGCGCTGCGGCACCGCCTACACGCAGCGCCGCACCACCCCTACCTGCAACGGTGCGTACTCTGTACTGACACTGCTGCTGCTGCGGGTGCTGATGCTGCTGCCGCAGAGTGACGCCTTCCACGCGCTGCGGCACCGCCTACACGCAGCGCCGCACCACCCCTACCTGCAACGGTGCGTACTCTGTACTGACACTGCTGCTGCTGCTGGTGCTTATGCTGCTGCCGCAGAGTGACGCCTTCCACGCGCTGCGGCACCGCCTACACGCAGCGCCGCACCACCCCTACCTGCAACGGTGCGTACTCTGTACTGACACTGCTGCTGCTGCTGGTGCTGATGCTGCTGCCGCAGAGTGACGCCTTCCACGCGCTGCGGCACCGCCTACACGCAGCGCCGCACCACCCCTACCTGCAACGGTGCGTACTCTGTACTGACACTGCTGCTGCTGCGGGTGCTGATGCTGCTGCCGCAGAGTGACGCCTTCCACGCGCTGCGGCACCGCCTACACGCAGCGCCGCACCACCCCTACCTGCAACGGTGCGTACTCTGTACTGACACTGCTGCTGCTGCGGGTGCTGATGCTGCTGCCGCAGAGTGACGCCCTCCACGCGCTGCGGCACCGCCTACACGCAGCGCCGCACCACCCCTACCTGCAACGGTGCGTACTCTGTACTGACACTGCTGCTGCTGCGGGTGCTGATGCTGCTGCCGCAGAGTGACGCCTTCCACGCGCTGCGGCACCGCCTACACGCAGCGCCGCACCACCCCTACCTGCAACGGTGCGTACTCAGTACTGACACTGCTGCTGCTGCTGGTGCTGATGCTGCTGCCGCAGAGTGACGCCTTCCACGCGCTGCGGCACCGCCTACACGCAGCGCCGCACCACCCCTACCTGCAACGGTGCGTACTCTGTACTGACACTGCTGCTGCTGCGGGTGCTGATGCTGCTGCCGCAGAGTGACGCCTTCCACGCGCTGCGGCACCGCCTACACGCAGCGCCGCACCACCCCTACCTGCAACGGTGCGTACTCTGTACTGACACTGCTGCTGCTGCGGGTGCTGATGCTGCTGCCGCAGAGTGACGCCTTCCACGCGCTGCGGCACCGCCTACACGCAGCGCCGCACCACCCCTACCTGCAACGGTGCGTACTCTGTACTGACACTGCTGCTGCTGCGGGTGCTGATGCTGCTGCCGCAGAGTGACGCCTTCCACGCGCTGCGGCACCGCCTACACGCAGCGCCGCACCACCCCTACCTGCAACGGTGCGTACTCTGTACTGACACTGCTGCTGCTGCGGGTGCTGATGCTGCTGCCGCAGAGTGACGCCTTCCACGCGCTGCGGCACCGCCTACACGCAGCGCCGCACCACCCCTACCTGCAACGGTGCGTACTCTGTACTGACACTGCTGCTGCTGCTGGTGCTGATGCTGCTGCCGCAGAGTGACGCCTTCCACGCGCTGCGGCACCGCCTACACGCAGCGCCGCACCACCCCTACCTGCAACGGTGCGTACTCTGTACTGACACTGCTGCTGCTGCTGGTGCTGATGCTGCTGCCGCAGAGTGACGCCTTCCACGCGCTGCGGCACCGCCTACACGCAGCGCCGCACCACCCCTACCTGCAACGGTGCGTACTCTGTACTGACACTGCTGCTGCTGCGGGTGCTGATGCTGCTGCCGCAGAGTGACGCCTTCCACGCGCTGCGGCACCGCCTACACGCAGCGCCGCACCACCCCTACCTGCAACGGTGCGTACTCTGTACTGACACTGCTGCTGCTGCGGGTGTCGATGCTGCTGCCGCAGAGTGACGCCTTCCACGCGCTGCGGCACCGCCTACACGCAGCGCCGCACCACCCCTACCTGCAACGGTGCGTACTCTGTACTGACACTGCTGCTGCTGCGGGTGCTGATGCTGCTGCTGCAGAGCGACGCCTTCCACGCGGTGTGGCACCGTCTGCACGCCGCGCCGCACCACCCCTACCTGCAACGGTGCGTACTCTGTACTGACACTGCTGCTGCTGGTGGTGCTGATGCTGCTGCGGGTGCTGATGCTGCTGCCGCAGAGTGACGCCTTCCACGCGCTGCGGCACCGCCTACACGCAGCGCCGCACCATCCCTACCTGCAACGGTGCGTACTCTGTACTGACACTGCTGCTGCTGCGGGTGCTGATGCTGCTGCCGCAGAGTGACGCCTTCCACGCGCTGCGGCACCGCCTACACGCAGCGCCGCACCACCCCTACCTGCAACGGTGCGTACTCTGTACTGACACTGCTGCTGCTGCGGGTGCTGATGCTGCTGCCGCAGAGTGACGCCTTCCACGCGCTGCGGCACCGCCTACACGCAGCGCCGCACCACCCCTACCTGCAACGGTGCGTACTCTGTACTGACACTGCTGCTGCTGCTGGTGCTGATGCTGCTGCCGCAGAGTGACGCCTTCCACGCGCTGCGGCACCGCCTACACGCAGCGCCGCACCACCCCTACCTGCAACGGTGCGTACTCTGTACTGACACTGCTGCTGCTGCGGGTGCTGATGCTGCTGCCGCAGAGTGACGCCTTCCACGCGCTGCGGCACCGCCTACACGCAGCGCCGCACCACCCCTACCTGCAACGGTGCGTACTCTGTACTGACACTGCTGCTGCTGCTGGTGCTGATGCTGCTGCCGCAGAGCGACGCCTTCCACGCGCTGCGGCACCGCCTACACGCAGCGCCGCACCACCCCTACCTGAAACGGTGCGTACTCTGTACTGACACTGCTGCTGCTGCGGGTGCTGATGCTGCTGCCGCAGAGTGACGCCTTCCACGCGCTGCGGCACCGCCTACACGCAGCGCCGCACCACCCCTACCTGCAACGGTGCGTACTCTGTACTGACACTGCTGCTGCTGCGGGTGTCGATGCTGCTGCCGCAGAGTGACGCCTTCCACGCGCTGCGGCACCGCCTACACGCAGCGCCGCACCACCCCTACCTGCAACGGTGCGTACTCTGTACTGACACTGCTGCTGCTGGTGCTGATGCTGCTGCCGCAGAGTGACGCCTTCCACGCGCTGCGGCACCGCCTACACGCAGCGCCGCACCACCCCTACCTGCAACGGTGCGTACTCTGTACTGACACTGCTGCTGCTGCGGGTGCTGATGCTGCTGCCGCAGAGTGACGCCTTCCACGCGCTGCGGCACCGCCTACACGCAGCGCCGCACCACCCCTACCTGCAACGGTGCGTACTCTGTACTGACACTGCTGCTGCTGCGGGTGTCGATGCTGCTGCCGCAGAGTGACGCCTTCCACGCGCTGCGGCACCGCCTACACGCAGCGCCGCACCACCCCTACCTGCAACGGTGCGTACTCTGTACTGACACTGCTGCTGCTGCGGGTGCTGATGCTGCTGCTGCAGAGCGACGCCTTCCACGCGGTGTGGCACCGTCTGCACGCCGCGCCGCACCACCCCTACCTGCAACGGTGCGTACTCTGTACTGACACTGCTGCTGCTGGTGGTGCTGATGCTGCTGCGGGTGCTGATGCTGCTGCCGCAGAGTGACGCCTTCCACGCGCTGCGGCACCGCCTACACGCAGCGCCGCACCACCCCTACCTGCAACGGTGCGTACTCTGTACTGACACTGCTGCTGCTGCGGGTGCTGATGCTGCTGCCGCAGAGTGACGCCTTCCACGCGCTGCGGCACCGCCTACACGCAGCGCCGCACCACCCCTACCTGCAACGGTGCGTACTCTGTACTGACACTGCTGCTGCTGCGGGTGCTGATGCTGCTGCCGCAGAGTGACGCCTTCCACGCGCTGCGGCACCGCCTACACGCAGCGCCGCACCACCCCTACCTGCAACGGTGCGT